TGCTTTCCTGCACAGTTCTGATCATTTTGTTCCTGAAGCAGGCAAGGCCCAATCACCTTGGGTCAACTGAGGTCCTTCCTCCTGCTGCCAATGTTACATGATTTCAGTTGGGAGAGTAATGTGGGCTAGGGAGGTGATTTCTTCTGTTCAGGCACTCTGTCCCCAACAGAGACTACACTCCCGCACCCACCCCACCCCCTCCTTGTTCCTCAGACTGGCCTCCCAACTTCAACTCTCTCACCACATCCACAGGAGCTTGCCAGGCTGGATTCCCAAACCCTCAATGGTATGTAGGTCTCCTGATCCAAGATTCTTTGCAGTGGGGTTTGCTTTATGTCCCAACAATAGCTGCCTTTCCAAATGCTGCTGCTGCTAAAAACCATTTGATTGCAGGACCAGCAGGACTTCCTCCCCAGTGGGGGGGGGAAGAGATCTCACCCCAAGCCAATTAATGACACAATGGCCAATAAGACAGGACAGGACAAACTGGTCAAGTGGAGACTCAGCATACTGAGATCAGGTAGTTTAATACAAATCAAGGCTGCGTAGGGACATTTCTGATCTATGTGGCGTACCCACTCACTAGATGAAGTCCTTCTATGTACCAGCCTTCCAGCATCTAGCTAATACTTGATAATCAATCTCCTCACTTCAACTCTCACTCCTTTATTGGTGACCCTGAATTTGTAACCTATATTTAAAGGCTATCGGAGAGAATAAAAGATCCATCATTTCCTAATTATTGTTATAGGAACACACTATGGATGTTCTAAGAGATTACTTAATGCATGATGATCTCACGCTGCAGTCAGAGATTGTAAGAGATTCCAAATTCTGCTCTGGTTGAAGTAGAATATCTGTTAAAGAGCTCTAACCAGGTACAGGACAAGTTAATTGACTCAGTCTTTGCTGGTGTTGGAATGAAGACTTCATTACAGCACTGACACTGCCAACAGGCCGAGCAGAGAGCATACAGAACTAATGACAGAATCGAACCACTACCCCAATGCTGAAATGAAAAAGCAGGGTTTCAAGTGACTCCACTGGGATAACCATAGCGTTTCTCAGGTGCTACATTTCTCTCTGTGTTGCAGTAACACAAGAGGCATCGATACAGCTCCCTCTCCTCCTCTTTATCAGTAACATGCCTGACTGCTTTATGACTTTCAGACAGTGAAAACCAAAAGGGGACTGACTGCAAGAATATAGTCCAACAGAGTAAGGGCAATGAGTGAAGCTATTTCTTTCTTTAATCAAAACCAGCCACTAAACATTATTAGTTATAATTATTATGATTATTAGTTCTTGCAAAATCTCCAACTTTTCATGAAAATTTACCACTATTTTCCAGTATGTTTACATTTAAATGAAAAATTAATTTTAAATGATTTCAAAAAAGTTTATTTAAAGAGTGATAGCTTGAGACATAATTTGGCAGCTAAAATAAAAGGGGCTGTAGAGTCATTGAGTCACAGTGCTGTACAGCATGGGCACAGAAACCCTTTGATCCAGCCCGTCCATGCCAACCAGGTTTCCTAAAGTAATCTAGTCCCATATTCCAGCATTTGGCCCATATCCCTCTAAACAATTGCTATTCATATACCCATCCAGGCACCTTTTAAATGTTGTTATTGTACCAGCCTCTACCAGCTCATTCCATACACGCACCACCCCTGCGTGAAAATGTTGCCCCTTAGGTCCCTTAAACCTATGCCCTCAAGTTTCGGACTCCCCCACCCTAGGGAAAAGACTTTGGCTATTTACCCTATCCATGCCCCAGATGACTTAATAAACTTCTGTAAGGTCAGGCCTCAGCCTCTGGCGCTCCAAGGAAAATAGCCCCAGCCTATTTAGCCTTTCCCGATAGCTCAAACCCTCCAACCCTGGAAACATCCTTGCAAATCTTTTCTGAACCCTTTCAATTTTCACAATATCCCTCCTATAGCAGTGAGACCAGAATCGAATGCATTATTCCAAAAGTGGCCAAACTAACTCCGTACAGCCACAACATGACCTCCCAACTCATATACTGTATAGATTGGTAATATTTCAGATTCAGCTAGATGTTAGAATCAGTAAAATGGAGCAAACAGTGCTGATAAATCACTGTGCGCTGCTCATAAGACCATATGGCTATAGGATCAAAATAAGCAGAATGGGCCATTTGGCTCATTGAGTCTGCTCCACCATTTGATTATGGATGATATGTTTCTCAACCCCATTCTCCTGCCCTTTTTCTATTCATTCACAAGATGAGGGCATCGCTGGCTAGGCCAGCATTTATTGACCATCCCAGAGGGCAGTTAAGTGTCAACCACATTGCTGTATATCTGGAGTCACATGTACTCCAGACCAGGGGAGGGTGGCAGTTTTCTTCCCAAGAGGACATTAGTGAACCAGATGGGTTTTTCTGAAAACTGATATTAGATTCATGGTCATCATTAGACTCTTAGACTCAATTTTTTATTGAGTTCAAATTCCACCATCTGACATGATCAGATCTGAACCTGGGTCCCAGGAACATTACCTGGTTCTCTGGATTAATAGTCTAGTGATAATACCACCAGTCTATTACCTTCTCCATTCTTCTCCCCATAACCCTTGATTCTCTTCCCCAATCAAAAGCCTATCTGTCTCTGCCTTAGATACACTCAATAACTTGGCCTCCACAGCCCTCTGTGGTAATAAGTTCCACAGAGTTACAATCCTCTGGCTAAAGAAATTCCTCCTCATCTCAGCTTTATGGGGTTGTTGTTCACTCTGAGGCTGTGTCCTTGGGTCCTATTCTCTCCTACAAGTGGAAACATCTTCTCCATGTCCACTCTCTCCAGGCCTCTCAGTATTCTGTAAGTTTCAATCAGATCACTCCTCATTCTTCTAAACTCCAAGCCCAGATCCAGAGTCCTCAACCGCTCCTCATATGACAGGCCCTTCATCTCCTTGTAAACCTCCTCTGGATGCCCTCCAACATCAGCACATCATTCCCTGGATACGGGGCCCAAAACTGCTCACGATATTCCAAATGCGGTCTGACCAGTGCCTTATACAGCCTCAGCAGTACATCACTGCTCTTGTATTCTAGCCCTCTTGAAATGAATGCTAACATTGCATTTGAGTGATGGAGCCAAACGTATTCAAGTAAGTAATAAGTATTATATCACCATCCTGATCTATGCTCTGTAGTTACTTGTGGGAGTTCCTATCCTGCGCGTGGAGCTGTGCTGTTTCTATACTTGGTGCAGTTAGGCAGTGGTAAATTTCCATTCACATCCCCCAATATGTGGAGAATAGGATACTTGGTAATGACAGAAGTCAGGGCTGGCATTGGAATAGTTTATTGAAGATTACTTAATTATGTTGGTAATGTGTTTATTACGGCCCAGATGATGTCAGGGCTAATTGCCTCTGCTAAGTTTAGTGCATTAAGCTGATTTTGTTATATATCAGCATCTATGATGATAGAAGCCTCAAGAGAAGATAGTTATTTTGCTGAAAAAAGCATCAAAATCCCATATCCTTTCAATCATAAAGATTGCATACTTCGCCCTTTAAAACAGTATCCCTTGGACACCTACTACAGTATCTATTACTGAAATGCTTATTCACACCTTTTGTTCCTTCAAACTTACAATTCCAAATATCTCCAGGCCTCCAATATCCTCCATTATCCTTACAAAATGATGCTGCACAGATCCTATCCTCATCAACCACCCATCATCCCTGATCTTCATTGATATCCATTCCCAAACGTCTCAAATCCAAAATTCTAATTTTCCTAGATAATTTCTTTTAAGTTCTTAATCCTCTCCACTCCTGTAGCCACCTCAAGATATATTGTCCTCCAAGAATTCTACATTTCTCCAGTTCTGGCCTCCTGGACATTTGTCTAGTGGACATGGTTGGGACTTAAACTCTCTTATTTTGTCCACCTTCACTCTCCAGCTCACTGTCTTCCTCAAAGACCCACAATAAACCAGCTCATTAAGAACCACATCCAAGTCCTTCCTTTCTCAATATCAATTTTTATCTCATAGCAATTTTATGAGGCATCTCAAGACATGTTCCAACATTAAAACAATATAAGTTCAAATTACTGTTGTTCATTAACTGCATCTTCTTTTGTACTGCTGTATTATTGCACTGATCCCAGAAATGCCTTTAAGTGCGTAATAAGACAATTAGATAGTTACAATGTCATGATATCTGACATTCCCATGTGAAGGCTTTCACCTCACCTTCAGTCATCAGGGGAATGGAGTAACTTTAGCCAATCACATGTTGTGTTATAATCATGTAATGTAGCTGTAGCCTCAGTAAGCATAGAACTTAGATTATGTATAAGTCTTAGACCTAATAACAGTGTAAATAATTGTTCATAAACTTCAAGATATCTGTCTCACAAGAACCTGGCTTTTGTGGTGCATGTTACATTGGCTAAAGTATGGGGCATATCAAGCTGGTGTTAGTGTTTAACCCAAGAAACCAGATCACACACTCATTAGGATTGGTGGGATCTTACAGAATAATTTATTTACCTTTCACATGGACTCCCAAATGTTTGTTTCACAGCTTAGGCTGACTCTGCAGATATGTTTGATAATACAAGTTCTTCTGTTTCTGTGCAAACTGTTGTTCAAACTGCATCACCCATGTTCCCAGTAGAAAACTGCTTTTCTGATGCAGTTGCTGGAAAAGCTCAGCAGGTCTGACAGCATCTGTGGCGAGAAATTGGAATTGACTTTTTGGGTCGAGTGACCCTTCCTGAGTTCTGAAGAAGGGTCGACAGACCTGAAGCATTAACTCTGATTTCTCTCCACAGATGCTGCCAGACCTGCTGAGCTCTTCCAGCAACTTCTGTTTTTGTTCCTGATTTACAGCATCTGCAGTTTCTTTGTTTTTCTGATGCAATGTTGCTCAGCTTGTATTAAAATGCTTCATCAATAAAGTTCAAAAATGCTGAGTTACAGTGCACTAAATTGAAATCCAAAATAAATACCTACCTACTACCCAGGAAACTATTAAAATTTCAATCCATGTGAAGCCAGTTGTTTTCATTCTGAAGAGCTGTCTGGGGTGATCAGTCGTTGACTCATTTGGCAGGAGTTTGGTGCCTTCAAACCTGTCAGCTGCATTCATAATCAGCAGGCCAAGAAAAACAGTGAAAGAAGCTCCGTGGGCTACAAATTTCATAAATGGTGCACGCAAGATCTTCCCCAGCTGTAACACCACAAAACAAATTCACAGTTTACAGCATTGTTTACCATCTTTGTGAAAAAAAATCAAAAATTGCGAGATTCTAAGAAAACATTTACCATTGTAATTAAGTATCACTGGATTTAATTTGATTCACTCACCCCCTCAAAGGTTTTCATTCTTATGAGCAATTCTCTCTGTTTTTACAAGCTTTCCTTTGTGCCAAAATTACTGTCATTTATTGACCTCCAAGTGTGTTCTTGCAGTGACACATATACTTTACAGTCTGACCAATATCCATTGATCTATTTTATTGCATCATTAATTTGTAACTGTAATTTACATTGCTAGATCAAGATATGATTTTTAAGATAACCACTCACAAACACAAATTGGAGTTGAGGAAAAGCCACAAATGTTCAATGTCATGAATCAAATTTGAAGCTTTCAATTGTTAGAAGTTAAGCTCAAGCACGCAAAACGTGAGTTAATATCAAAGCACACACCACAGACGGGAAATATTTGATGTCTATTTTCCAACGTTGACCACAGGTGAGGTTCCAGAGGACTGGAATTAGCCAATGTTGTTCCCTTGTTTAAGAAAGGAAGCAGGGATAATCCAGGAAATTATGTGTGGTGAGCCTGACATCTGTGGTGGGGAAGCTCTTGGAGAAGATACTGAGGGACAAGGTATGTGCACATTTGGAAGAAAATGGACTAGTTAGTGACAGACAGCATGGTTTTGTACAGGTAAGGTCATGTCTCACCAAGCTGATTGAATTTTTTTGAAGAGGTGACAACGACAATTGATGAGGGAAGGACACTGGATGTAGTTTATATGGATTTTAATAAGTCATTTGATAAAGTCCCACATGGCAGTTCGGTACGAAATCACGTGGGATTCAGTGTGGGCTGGTTAGATGGGTACAAAACCGGCTTGGTCATAGAAGACAGAGGGTAGCAGTTGAAGGATGTTTTTCAGAATGGAGACTGGTAACTAGTGGTGTTTCACCAGGATCAGTCTTAGGTCCTCTGTTGTTTATAGTATATACAAATGATCTGGAGGAAAATGTGGGTGGCCTGATTAGTAAGTTTGCGGATGACACGAAGATTGGTGGAGTTGCTAATAGTGCCAACCATTGTGAAAGGATACAACAGCATATAGATAGACTGGTGACTTGGGTAAAGAATGGCAGATGGAGTTTAATCCAGACAAATGTCGGGTGATGCATTTTGGAGGATCAAATTTAGGTGTGAATTATACTGTAAATGGCAGAGCCCTTAGGAACATTAACATTCAGATGGATCTGGGTGTGCAGGTCCACAGTTCCTTAAAAGTGGCAACACAGGTGGCCGCTGGGAGGCAATGGCCTAGTGGTATTATCGCTGAACTGTTAATCTAGAGACCCAGACAATGTTCTGGGGACCTGGGTTTGAATCCCACTACAGCAGATGGTGGAATTTCGATTCAATAAATAGCTGGAATTAAGAGTCTAATGGTGACCATGAATTCATTGCCGATTGTCGGAAAACCCCCATCTGGTTCACTAATGTCCTTTAGGGAAGGAAACTGCCACCCTTACCTGGTCTTGCCTACGTGTGACTCCAGACCAACAGGAATGTTGTTGACCCTTAACTCTCCCTGGGCAATTAGGGATGGGCAATAAATGCTGCCTAGTCAGCAATGCCCTCATCCCGTGAACGAATAAAAAAACAAAAAGGTGATTAAGAAGGCACACGCCATGCTCACCTTCATCAGCCAGGGTATGGGGTACAGGAGTTAGCAAACCATGTTGCAGCTATAAAACCCTTGTGAGGCCATTATTTGGAGTATTGTGTGCAGTTTTGGTCGCCACATCACCAGAAGGATGTGGAAGCTTTTAAGAAAGAACAGAGAAGGTTCACCAGGGTGTTGCCCGGTCGAGAGGGCATTGGCTATGAGGAAAGGTTAAAAAGACTAGGATTGCTTTCACTGGAAAGGTGACGGCTGAGAGGTGACCTGATAGAGGTCTACAGAATTGAGAGGCATAGACAGGGTGGAAAGCTTTTTCCTAGGACTGATGTTTCAATTATGAGGGTGCACAGGTTCAAGGTGAGAGGGGGAAAGTTTAAGGGAGATGTGCGAGGGAAGTTTTTCACACAGAGAGTGGTAGGAACCTGGAACGCACTGCCAGAAGAGGTGGTGGATGCAGGCTTGTCGGCAACATTTAAAAGGCATCTGGATGGTTAGATGAATTGGGAGGGAATAGGGGGATACAGGCCAAATAAGGGCAGAAGGTTTACTTTTTTAGAGATAGTAGGAACTGCCGATGCTGGAGTCTGAGATAACAAGGTGTGGAGCTGGATGAACATAGCAGGCCAGGCAGCATCAGAGGAGCAGGAAAGCTGACATTTCAGGTCTGGACCCTTCTTCAGAAATGGGGGAGGGGAAGGGAGGTCTATGCTCGGTTCACGACGAACGACAACACCTCCCTGTCGTAAACCACTTCAACTCCCCCTCCCACTCCCTGGATAACATGTCCATCCTGGGCCTCCTCCAGTGTCACAACGATGCCACCGAAAAACTGGAGGAACAGCTCCTCATATTCCACCTTAGATCCCTACAACCCAATGGTCTCAATGTGGACTTTATTAGCTTCAAAATCTCCCCACCCCCAACCTCATCCCAAGACCAGCCCCCCTCTCGTCCCCGGCTCCTTGGCCTGTCCTTCTTCTCTCCCACCTATCCGCCTCTCCCTTCTCACTGACCAATCCCCATCCCCACTTCCTACCTACACTCACCTCTACTAGCTTCATACCCACCTCCTTGAACTGTCCGTCTTCTCTCCACCTATCTGCTCCACTATCCACCTTCTATCACCGCCTCCCCCTCTCTCTATTTATTTCAGAGCCCCCTTCTTCACCCCCATTTCTGAAGAAGGGTTCCAACCTGAAACGTCAGCTTTCCTGCTCCTCTGATGCTGCCTGGTTTGTTTTTTAGTTTAGTTAGGATATGATGATCAACACAGGCTTGGAGGGCCAAAGGGCCGTTCCTGTGCTGCGCTTCTCTTTTGTTCTTTTGTTCTTTTTGATGGGAGAAAGCAAGAGGAAATATGTAGAAGAATTAGAAAGATTAGATAGAATCAATAAATTAATACTGCACTAATTACCTCTCAGTTAATAAGATCAACCAAATAAAATTGACAACTGCTATGAAATGCATTTGCAGATATTTAAATAAGAAAAACATTGGTGAGACAAAAGCTAAGCAGCATTGTATTCCAGCTGGAATTATAGTCCTAAAATGTTCTAGTCAACCATCTACCAAGTGGAGAAAGGAATTTGAATACATATCTCTACAGCACAACTTACTCCCATGGAAATAAAATTAGAATGTTTGCACTCAGCTGTTTGGGTCTGCATCCACAACCTGAAAATAGTTTCAAAGTTGAACATTGAAAATGACCAACCTTACTGCAGGGTGCAATCCAATAGCACAAGGCCAGAAATGGGAGGCCAATAGCTACAGCAAGTACAACCAGAAACTTGATTGCTATTGACTGCTGGCGTAGTCCTGAGAGATTTTCGTACCAAATAGATAGAAGTTGCTGCTGACAGTTTGGATGAGCTACAAACTTCAAAAATGAGAGGTCACAGTGTAAGTTGGAAATCAAAATGAAAGTTTTGAGTGAAACTGAAGATATTTGATATTTTAAAAATGACATTTCTAATGTAATACTCTTTCAAATGTTCACCTAAAAAGTAAGTTGATAAATGTATTAATGATATAAGCACATAAATCATTAAAAGGTATTTTAATCTTTTAAATAAATCCAGAAATGGAAGTTTGTTGATATGTTTTCAAGTTAGAAACTTCTTTACAACTTCTTCTCTGTAACAAATAAAAAGTGATCGAATTTTCAAAATCCAGCTGTTAGACTATTATTTGATATAATTTAAAACCTTTGTTGATTAATTACTTTATATTAATATGCAATGCACCGTGATATAGCTGTGCAATTGTAAGCATGACCTCTCTGACTGATCTCATCGTTTACCCATCGTTTCAGCCAGTAGTAAAGAGATTGCTAAGCATAGCTTTGTCAGGGGGAGGTCATACCTAACAAATCTAGTGGAGTTTTGAAGAGGTGACCAAGTGTTTGGATGATGGCAGAGCAATTGATATAATTTATATGATTTCAGCAATGTCTTTAACAAGGTCTCATATGGAAAGCTGATAAAGAATGTAAAAGCTTGTGGAATCCAGAGTAACTTGGCAAGATAGATCCAATATTGCTGAGTGACAGGAGACAGAGGGTGGTGGTAGAAGGCTGCTTGTGTGACTGGAAACTAGTATGCAGTAGCATATCACAGGGGTCAAAGCTGGGTCCCTTATTATTTGGGATATTCATAAATGATGTAGATGACAACATGGGGGAGGATGATAAGTCAGTTTGTAGATGGCACAAAGATTGGCTGGATGGTTGACAGTGAGTGGGAAGGTGTTTGGTTACGGGAGGATTGGTCAAATGGGCAGATTAATGGCAGATGGAGTTTAATCCTGATAAATATGAGGTAAGGATCTTGGGGAGCTCTTCCACAGATTGATGAAGGTGCCAGTACAGGTTAATAGGGGTGATTAGGAAGGCATACAGGACACATGTCTTTATCAGTCATGGCATAGTTTACAGGAGCAGGGAGGTTATGTTGGAGCTGTACAAAACTTTGGTCAGGCCACAGCTGGAGTACTGTATGCAGCTCTGCTCACCACACTATAGCAAGGATGTGATTGTACTGGAGGGGGTGCGGAGGAGATTCACCAGGATGTTGCCTAGAATGGAACATTTCAGCGATGAAGAGAGGCTGGATTAGCTTGGGTTGTTTTCTTTGAAGTAGAGAAGCTTGGGGGTGGGTGAATGGGACCTGATCGAGATGTGTAAGATTATGAGGGGCATGGACAGGGTGAATAGAAAGCAGCTGTTCCCCTTAGTTGAAGGATCAATAACAAGGGATCATAATTTTAAAAGTGAAAGTCAAGAGGTTTAGAGGAGATTTCAGGAAAAATCTTTTCACTCAGAGGGTGGCGAGAGTCTGGAATGCACTGCCTGAGAGAATAGCTGAGGCAGGACACTTCACAACCTTTAATATGTACTTGGATGAGCACTTGAAATATCATAACATTCAACGCTGTGGGCCTAGTGGGAAAATGGGGCTAGTCTAGGCAGTAGGACTTTGACAGTACGGACTTGATGGACCAAAGGGCCTCCTCTGTACTGTATGATTTTATGGGGTTTTTTTAAATTCCTTCATGTTTTGTGGGTGTCACTGGCTACAAACACCCGCTGTGCTGTTGTGGAAGGAATTCCAGGATTTTAACCCCCTGACAGTGATCGGGATCTAGTTCCAAGTCAGGATGATATCTGACTTGAAGGGAAAGTGGTGTACCCTTGTATCTGCTGCCCTTGTCCTTTTAAGTGATAAAGGTAACAGGTTTGGAAGGTTTTTTCTGAGAACTGGCTGCTGCTGAGTTGTTCCAGAGCATCTTGCAAATGAGGTACACAGCTGCCAATTTGCACGACGGGAGGGAGAGAATGTTAAAGATGGTGGATGTGATGCCAGTTGAGCGGGTTGTTTTGTCCTGGATGGTGTTGAGCTGCCTGAGTGTTGTTGGTGCTCCACTCATCCAGCTAAGTGGGGGCATTTCATCACACTCCTGACCTGTGCCTTATAGATGGTGGACAAGTATCAAGAAGACAAGAGGTGAGCTACTCCCTGTAGATTTCTCAGGTCTGACATGCACATGTACCCACAGTGTTTATATGGACGGTTCAGTTCAATTTCTGTTCAATGGTAGTCCCCACCATTTAAAATATGCAAGCTCCTTTTTTGATAGGTCAACACTTGTTGATACAAGTTGACAGGTCAAGGTAAGTTGGACAGCTCCAAGGAATTTCTGTACTGTTTATACACAATCTTCTCCACAGTTAACCTTCCCAAAGGTGCCTGATACTCCTTCCAGTAAAGGATCCCTGACCCTTACCTGCAAAGGATAATGGATGCTCCCCACCTCCAAAAGAATCCTTGTCTCTCACATCCAAGGTGTCCTGGGACCAGATCTGCAGGGGTACCTCAGCTCTATCCGAAATCAGTGCACCGCGAACAGAGCTGGTCTGACCTGGTCTAATTTTCCACTCGATGTTCCATACTGCAGGCTCTGTAAACTCCCAACTCATTGGCTGCATATGAAACTGTGCACATGCCAGAGAAGCTCAATACTGGACCCTGCCTCATTAGGTCTGGGGCAAAAAGGATCAAGGGTGATCTTCTCTTCGAATTGAGGACCACGTAAATGCGTCATCCCATTCCTCCTAGTATTTAATCATCACTTCAGTTTCTGCTTTAACTGTGCCAGCATCCAAAATTAATAACCAGATTTCACCAACATATACATAGGTAGCCTACCTTAGCTAGGCATGACCTGCTGACTAGGGGTCCTGATAATGGAAACTTTTAAATAGAAAATAATTGAAAAATTCATGAAAATAATTTCAAGGAAGAGGCAATTTGATTGAAGAGGATATTTGGGAAGCTGTGGTTGTTCACCTTAAAGAGAAGATTGAGAGAAAATCTGACAGCGGAGTACAAACTTATGAGGGGACTAGACAGAGTAAATGGAGAGAAACCCACATAGAGAATGCTGGAGAAACTCAACAGGTCTGGCAGCGAACAGAGAAACACCACTAACATTTCGAGTCCAGGGACACCTTTTCAGAAGAGCCTTTCTGAGAGCTGGAGTAGTTAGGATCTGGAATGCATAACCTCAAAACTATGGTTGCTACGGATGCACCAATGGATTTCAAAAAGGAATAAGTAACTGCTGAGGAAGAAATTGCACAGCCCTGGGGAAAGGCCAGATAGTAGACCTAGCTGAGGTGCAAGTTCCCTTGTAAAATCACGACAGTTCAAATCTCCTTCTTCCAGATTGCATGAACATACAAAATAGCAACGGATATAGACCAATCAGCCCTTTGGTCCTGCTCCTCCATTCAATAATGGTTGATGTGGTTGTGTTTCAGATTCCACATTCCCTAATTGTTGATCTATTGCCTAAAAATAAGCTAACCACCTCTTTCTTAAAAGTAATCAATAACCCTCTGCAACCACTTTCTGAGGCAGAGAATTCCAAAGTCACACAACGCCCAGAGGAATAAAAAAAATTTCCTCATCTCTGTCCTGAAAGGACGACCTCTAATTTTAAAAGTGCCTCCTCATTTTGGATTTGCCCACAAGAGGGAACATCCTTTCCACGCCCACCTTGTTAATACCATTCATGATCCAATACACTTCACTCTTCTAAACTCCAGTAGAAACAAGCCCGGACTGTCTAAACTATCCTCATAAAACTGTTTAGAAGACTCTAATCCAAATATTAAATAAGGCAGCAAAAAAAAACTTGCAGGGGCTTACAGTTTGACACACACATTGATTTCTAACTTTCCCTCCTGGGATCTTTTCTCACTGTTGCCATCTTGATTTTTGATGGACAATTAAATAGATTGGGATGTAAACATTGTGTAAATTATAGGTGACATCATAAATGTTCAAAAAAATTTCCATTATTTCAAAAGCAAGGGAATTTCTTTTATTATGAAATGTTAGGAATGGTACTCCAGATTGTTAAAGTTAGCTTCATTCAGGGTTAGGTGGTTGGTCTGCAGTAATTATCATATCATATCATAGAATCCCTACAGTGTGCAAACAGGCCCTTTGGCCCAACAAGGCCACACCGACCCATCCCCTATAACCCACCTAATCTCCACATCCCTGAACACTATGGGCAATTTAGCCTGGCCAATCCACCTAGCCTGCACCTTTGGACTGTGGGAGGAAACTGGAGCACCCAAAGTAAACCCACGCAGACACAGGGAGAATGTACAAATTCCACACAGACAGTCGCCTGAGGCTGGAATCAAACCCAGGTCCCTGGCACTGTGAGGCAGCAGTGATAACCACTGAGCCACCGTGCCAGCCCATGACCTCATTTGCACCATTAGCTATTCAATCAGCCCTCATTCATCAAGGCTTAACATTTTCAATAATTTTTATAGTTTAACATAATGTGAAAAAATTGAAGTTCACAATAAATAATGGATTCAGTGCTGATTGTACCCACAAAGCCTGCAATAACACACTGTGTGGAAGATCAAGTTACCACAAACAGCAGCTTCTGATTTTCTGCAATTTTTACTGTGCATATTTGAATGGCAACGTTGCTGCTAGATTTACACTGTGATGATAGTGAATGCTCACAATTTTTCAGTCTTTAGAGATATAAAGTCTTCCCCAATAACATATTCAAAGCTGCAGTTAATTTTATTTTATTCTTTGATTAGTAAGATGGATGACCACATCACCTAAAGAATGGTTATCAGTCTTTCAAGTTATTGCACAGATGCTTATGCAATCATTTTGGAGATCAAAGCCCATCAGGCAGCATCCATGGAGAGAGGACAAGCTAGTGTTTTGTTTTCCCATTGAAGTTGAATTCTCTCTGAGGTGCAGGCAATGCTGGCCGGGGCGGCAAGTTAAAAGCCTACCATTGTGGTGGTTCTGGAATCACATGTAAGGTAGACCAGGTAAGGACTTCCGCGATATTTTGTCATAAAGGATGTTAGTGTTAACATAACCCAAGCTACAAATCTACTCTAAAGCATAGCTGCCATTAGTTGCTAACTTTTTACTCCAGCTTTTATTGAACTCAAAGTTCAGCATCTGCTATGGTGGGATTTGAACTTGTATCTTGTAAACATCAACCTGGTGTTTTAGATTATTAATCTAGCGATATTACCAATATGCCACCACCTCCCCTTACACTACCTACAGCCAATAATGATTCCCACTTATTAGACACACATAGCAGAACATTTAACAGCAGCCGTGTGGTGAATGTTTGTCAAGCTTTGACTACAAGGGCAATACAATGAGTAAACTAGTCCCCCCACTGGAGAGGGTGAAGAGGAGATTCACCAGGATGTTGCTTGGGAAGGAAATGTCTCAGTTATGAGGAGAGACTGGATAGGCTGGGTTTGTTTTCCCTGGAACAGAGGAGGCCGAGGGGGGATCTGATTGAGATGTACAAAATTCTGAGAGGCATAGGCAAAGTAGATCATGAGAATTTTTTTCCCACGCCTGATGTGTTTAAGACCAGACTGATAACTTTACAGTAAGGACAAAGTGGCCTAGAAGAAACAGGAGGAAAATCCTTTTCATCCTGAAGGTGGTAGAAATATGGAAGGTGCTGCCTGAGAGGGAGGTGGAGGCAGGTACTCTCACAATATTTAAGAAGCATCTGGACAAGCATTTAAAATCCCAGGGCATAGTAACCTATAGATCAAATGCAGGTAAATGGGACAAGTGTAGTTTGGTGTTTGTTGGTCCGTATGGAAATGGTGGGCCGAAGGACCTGTTTCCAAGCTTCAAGACTCTATGACATGCAGCTAGTCTGAATAAAATAATCGCTTTTGATCAGCTCTCTCAAGTAATTCTGTTTATACAATTGTATAATTGTACAATTAAGAATGGAATGAACCCACTTACATGGAGAATAAAATAAATTCACAATTATACCAAAAATTTAATTAAGAATTTATAAGATACAAGCCTATTAAAACATTAAAAATGTTTCATACCTTTTTGACATCATATTTTATGGCCAATTTTAATCGGCTAAGGCTTGGCCGAAACTCTTGGTTAATGCTGGGGTTGGTCTTCATGGTCCCATTCAAAATGGCTTCCACTTCTTCAGTAATCCGACACAAATCCAGAAGTCCAACAACAAAGTCTTTGCATTGCATAGATAATTTTTTGTAATCATTCTGAAAAAACACAAGTTTGAAGTGATTAACCTGTTGGGAGTCTTGATTTGAATGCTCACGATTCACTGGTAACAATAGTATTGAAATTTCTCAACACACAATCTGACAGGTTTTAATGGACACTGTACTGACTAGTGCCCTCTAGCATGGCCTGGCTGTGTCTTATAAAGTTAGTAGGTGGCACCTACTTTCTATGGTCCAATGGGCCAAAGTACAACTATAAGCATATCCTCATTCCCACTTGGCATTGTATAATTAGATTTCCCATCGATTCTGCAGATTACACCAAAAGTTTATGGCTGATAATTTAGAAAGGACACTTTGTGGCTTAACTCTACACCTAAAAACATAGGCCAGGATGTTATTAAAGCATTTATATAAAGAAGCATAGAACTTTACAGGACAGAAGGAAGCCATTCAACCCATCGTGTCTGTACCAGCTGCCAAAAGAGCTACCCAGCTAGTCCCACTCTCCAGCATTATCTCCATAGCCCTCTAACTTCATCACTTTCTATATATTCACTAAGTAGGAATATTTCCTTCAATTGGATGTTTGAAAATTAGCCTGTTTGCTCTAATACAAACATAAAATGCTTAAATGTTGATAATTGGAAAGATCAACCACTTTCCCCTTACTATGATCTGAAATCTTCACCTGCTTCGAGAAGATCACTATCATCCTGGTACCAAAGAAAACACACGCAACGTGCTGCAATGACTATCACCCAGTGGCTCTGACCTCCATCATTGTGAAGTGCTTTGAGAGGTTCCCCATGGCTGACATCAACTCTCGGCTACCAAACTGCCTTGATCCTTTGCAATTTGCCTACTGGTGCAACAGGACCATGGCAGACACCATCTCCCTGGCTCTACACTTGTCCCTGGAACAGTGGGATAACAAGGATACTTGCATCAGGCTCCTACGTATTAACTACAGCTCTGCCTTCAGCACCATAATTCCAAACAAACTCACCTCTGAACTCTGAGACATAGGTCTCAGCTCTCCTGTCAGTAACTGGATCCTGATCCATTGGCCACAATCAGGAAGGATAGGTGACAACACCTCCTCCACAATAATCCTCAACACTGGTTCCCTGCAAGGCTGTGTACTTAGTTGCCTTATACCCCTTATACACACATGACTGTGTGGCCAAATTCTGCCCCAACTACATTTATATGTTTGCTGATGACACCATTCTCTTCCATTCTCTTCCATCAGACAGGAAATGTAAAAGCTTGAAAGCACATACAAACGGATTCAACAACAGCTTCTTCCCTGCTGTTACCAGACTTTTGTATCGACCTCTCAAATTCTGATCTCTCTCTCTCTGCACCTTCTCTGTGACTGTAATAATGTATCCTGCACTCTGTTCTGCTACTCTGATGCACTTTGTATGGTACGATCTGCCCGTGTAGCACGCAAAATAACACTTTTCACTGTATCTCGGTATATATGACAACAATAAATCAGAAAAAGAGAAGTTGTCCATTTTGGCAGGAAGAATAAAACAAGATGCATATTTTCTAAACAGTGAAGGATTGCAGAACTTCAGGATGCAGAGGGGCCTGGGTGTCCTTGTGCATGAATCATAAAAGTCTAGTTTGCAGGTGCAGCAAGTAATTGGGAAAGTTGGTAGAATGTTATGGTTTATTGTGAGGGGAACTGAATACAACATTAGGGAGGTTATGCTTCAGGAATACAGGACACTGGTGAGGCCATATGGGGTGCACTGTGTGCAATGTTGGTCACCTGATTTAAAGGGAAGATGTAAATCTGTTGGAAGCAGTTCAGAAAATGTTTATGAGGCAAAAGCCTGGAATGGATGGGTCGACTTATCAGAAAAGGTTTGGACAGACTAGTCTTGTATCCTCTGGTTTTTAAGAGGTGTAACCTGCAATCAGCCATCCCAACCTGATCTAGTCCCATTTGCCAGCATTTGGTCCATATCCCTCTAAACCCTCCCTATTCATGTCCCCATCCAAATGTCTTTTAAATGTCATAATTGTACCAGCCTCCACCACTTCCTCTGTCGGCTCTCTCTATATATGCACCACCCTCTGTTTGAAAAAGCTATAGTTATTTAATGAGTTAAAACTAGTAGAAGATCTTGGCTAAAAATTCTTCACAAACCATGAGGCCATATCCTGACAGTCAACAGCAGAGGGCGCTGCAGCACCAGTGTATGAGCCTTCTGTAGTACTTCCACATCTTTCTAAAGAGATTATTTTACAATCTTTATTGTTAGTTTATAAACCTTTAATGTAGCTAAGGGCAAAATGAATATCAGTAATCCGAGAATCCTTCTTTCAGAATCTCCTTTGGAAAGTTAAAAATATTTAAACATGAAATCAGTTTCTTTTTTTGCTTCTCTTCAGGATTGTATTTTACTGAGAATAATGTATGGCAGACTTAGTGCAGCAGATCATCCAGCAGTTATAGCAGATCACCAGATTTTTAATGAAAGATTATGCCAGATATTAAGACCAGTCAGATCGTAGTGAAGATGCTCCATTTGTTAAATGAGAATGGTCCAGCTCTTCTGGCAGGCTGCTCAACTGTTACACATGCCCCAGCAGGTCCAGATCATTCTATTATTGTGGCAGATCACCCAGTCTTTATAGCAACTTCTCTAAGTGCATCATCCATAGGTTTGAAACAGTTATCACAGCCAATCATACATTTTTAAAGCAAATCTGCCAGCTACTAGATAAGATTCTACATCAACAACATTCATTCTTTTCAGATCACTAAGTGAGAAAGAGAGAAGGAGACAGAGAGAGCGAGAGACAGCGAGACAAAAAGGAGAGACAGTGGAGAAAGATCAAGCAGCTGTTATGGATTGCCCAGATGTTCTACCCAATTGTTCAGTTATTTTAAACAAAAAGTCACCCAGCTGTTGTCTAAAATTATTCAGCAAATTTCACAGATTGTCGATTTATTGTAGCAGATGGTCGAGCCTGTTCTGTTAGATTATCCAGCTGATTTAGACAATTTTCCAGCTGAGCTTTCAGATCATCTCGGTGTTACAGATGATTATCCATATCAACCTGCTGTTTTACAAGATCATTAAGCTATTACAGCAGATTACATAACTCTTCAAGCAGGTTGTGGTTATTAAGGATCGCCCAGCTGTTCTTGCTGCATGTTCAGATTTTATATCAACGGGTATCACACTCACATTTGTTTTGTTCTACTGATTTCAAATGGCATAACCCTGCTTAGTCACTTCAAAGCTGAAAGTTAGCCTCATTGTCTCTCATGTAATCCTTTTGCTATTAAACTCATGAAGCAAGCAAAGTTTATTAAACTTAATTTAACAGCACTTTTTTAAAAAGCATTCAAGATAAATTATTTTGATGTACTATACAAAATAAGGTCTTTCTTTGACAATGGCCCTGTTTGCTTTCCTCTCCTCATTTCTAAATATTGCAGCACCTATGTCTTAGCCACTTATTGGATATTATTATCCTATAGGTCTCAGGCAAGATTTCAGACCTTTAGGGAACAAGGGAAAAGGTGATGGATACATTAGGTAAGGGCTCATTGGATGTGAATTTGTTTTGTGAGTATGAAGAGTTAGTAATCAGTGGGATGTGAGTTTTATGGAGTGATGTGAACTGAAATAAAAGTATGGATGTGAAATCTGTTCAAAGACAGTTATTTCCCAGTGTATAATAGTTGTAGCAGAGGGTGGTAAAGTCAAAATATAAAGGATATGACTACCCTCTTCTGTTTTCTGAAAGTGAGTCTTGTAATCAGTAAAAGAATGAAGTTTCAATGTAGACCTGAACTACTTATTCACCAGAAAAGGAAACAAGGAATGGCCTTAACATGCTCATTACCAACAGAAGCAGAATAAGTAGCAATGAATGTTTTCTAAAAATGGAGCCTTGAATGATTTTGCGGCTGACAGCGAGACATCAGAACGGTGTGCTGCTGCCCTGGAGCCAGGACCAAAGATATCTCAGAGACGGTGCAGAATATTCTCAAAGGCGAGAGGGACCAGCAGGAGTGCATGGTACACATTGGAACTATTGACATAGAAAGAGAAAAGGATGAGATTCTGAGGAGACAATGTAGGAAGTTGGGCAGGAATTTAAAAAGTAGGTCCTCAAGGGTAGTAATATCTGCATTAATCCCAGTGCCATGAGCCAGTGAGGGTAGGAATAGGAAGATAGAGCAGATGAACGCGTGACTGAGGAGCTGGTGCAGGGGAGAAGGATTCACATTTTTGGATCATTGGAATCTCTTCTGTATAGGAAGGACAGATTGCACCTGAATTGGAAGGACTCTAACATACCGTCGGGAAGATTTGCTAGAACTGCTCGAGAGGATTTAAACCAGTAAGGAGGAGCGGGTGGGACCCTGGGAGATGGTGAGGAAAGAGATCAGTCTGATACTGGTCCGGTTGGGAAAAGGGGCGAGTCAAACAGACAGGGGAGGTGGGAACAAAGTAGAGAACAAGGTAGGACTGATAAATTAAACTGCATTTATTACAATGCAAGAGGCCTAACAGGTAAGGCAGATGAACTCAGGACATGGTTAGAAACCTGGGACTGGGATATCATAGCAATTACAGAGATGTGGCTCAGGGATGGACAGGACTGGAAGCTTAATGTACCAAGGCAGAGATGCTATAGGAAGGATTGAAGAGGTTGGGGGGAGCAAGACAGGAGGGGGAGTGGCATTTTTGATTACAGATAACAGCTATATTTAGGGAGGATATTCCTGGGAATACGTTCAGGGAAGATATTTGGGTGGAACAGAGAAATAAGAAAGGGATGATCACCTTATTGGAATTGTACTTTAGACCCCGCCCAGTAGTCAGCAGGAAATTGAGAAACAAATTTGTAAGGAGATCTCAGTTATCTCTAAGAACAATTGGGTGGCTATGGTAGGGGATTTTAACTTTCTAAACATAGACTGGGACTGCCATAGTGTTAGGGGCTTGGATGGACAGGAATTTTTAAGTAGGTACAAGAAAAGTTTCTGATTAAGA